CCCTCGGCCCTCGCCCCAGGCCCAGCAGCCTGGGAGTTTGCCCGCCAGGGCTCCCCAGCTCTGCCTGCCTTTCCCCAAATCCGCTCTGTCCCAGGCAGCCTCCAGCTTCCCTGGCAGCCTGGTTCCTCCTTCTCCCCAACTGGGGTGTGAGCGTGTGTCTCTCCCCTCCCCTCCTGGGCTATGTCTACACTCATGGCGTCTTGCATGAGAAATATGCAAATGAGGCTCAGCGTGGAATATCACCGAGTCTCATTTGCATACCTAATGAGCTGCCATTGTTGCAGAAGAGGCTCTTGCACCAGAAGGTGCTGTCTACACTGCCCCTTCTTGCGCAACAAAAACCCTCTTGAGCAATGCCATTCGTCCTGAAAATATTGCGCAAGACGGTTTTTGTTGGGCAAGAAGGGGCAGTGTAGACAGCTCCTTCTGGTGCAAGAGCCTCTTCTGAAAAAATGGCAGTTCATTAGGTATGCAAATGAGGCTTGGCGATAGTCCATGCTTAGCCTAATTTGCATATTTCTTGTGCAAGAAACCGTGAGTGTAGACATAGCGACTGTGTGCAGGGAGCTCACACCTCACTTCAGCTGCCCTTGCTTCACATCAGTGGTTCCCAGCCTTCTCCAGATGGGGACCCAAGGCAATTCAAAAATGGGAGGCGGAGGAAGGGCAGAGCCACCTGGAGAGACACTTAGCGACCCTTTTGAAATGTAATGATGACCCATATTTGGGTCCTGACTCATAGGTTGGGAAACTCTGCTTTACATTCGTGTCACTTGAGTAATATTGATAGGAAAAAACCTGACATGGATGGAAAGTTGTGAAATTTGTCAACTCTGTGTGAGCAAAGGTAAACAAAATGTTGCATGGGGCACACTCAGGCTGCAGCTTGCTCACTGTTGTTCTAAATGTTTGTAAATAGATTCCTTAATTGGTCGCTCTATTAACTTTCCTAATACAGAAGTTAAACAGGTCTTTAATTCCCCAGTTTGTCCTTATTTCCCTTTTTATAGATGGGCATTATATTTGCCCTTTAACAATCTTCTGGAATGAATCTCGACTTCCATGACATTTTGAAGATAATCGTTAATAGTTTCTATATATTCTCAGTGAACTCCTTGAGTATTCTAACATACATTTCATCAGGCAGAGATGACTGGAAGACATGTAATCCATCTATATAA